CAAGTGACACACTAACACTTGTCCCGTAAAGTTCTCCCCCTAAACACGACTCTCAAACCCCATATGGCTACATTGTGGATGCTTCTGAATGAGAAGGAAGGATCCTCAATTTATAGAAGTCCAAACCTTTTCCTACAAGAAAATGGACTAGCCAAATATAGGAGAATTATAATTTCCTTCCACAAGAAGAAAAAATCAATTATGGTAAATATGTTGTCCTTTCCTTCATCAAAATTTATTTGTTTGTTGCTTAAAAGGAAATGTACCATCTTGGTTTCTTATGCTAGGTCATTTACATAAATTACATTTAAATAAAAGGATGATGTACATCAAAATACCTACTTTTCCCAACGAAAAACTACTGTGTTACTCATATTTGGCTCATTTTTCTTCTTCTAATTGATTGTCCTCCTTATAGATATTCTTTATGCCCGACTTACCAGGTGCGTGGCATAGGTATTTGTGATCATCAATAACGTGTGAGTCTAATTGATTTACATCATTACATGGATTAGTATATGTAAAAAAAAATAAGACAATCAACGTCGACTTAATTCCAATGGAGTCATGACGTGTCGTATGCGGCTTGTACTTCCTCTAGGAGGAGTCCGGAACCAAAGTGATGGAAAAAAAATTCCTAAAATGATCGAGGCAGTGTGTAAAAAAGAAAAAAGAACACATCTACATATAATGCTTGAAATACATATATTATATTTGTTAGGACCGAAAAAAGCAGGTGTCATTCGGAAGCTAATAAAGCAAACCTTAAACGATGATAAATCCAACAACAAAAAAGAAATCTACCAAAAGAGACACAAACATATAACGTGGTTCGGTCAACTGACGTACGTCCACGGCGGAGATGATCAATCCACTATATAAAAAGAGAGTACAAGATATCGAGAGAACAACCTCACGATGAGGCAAACACAAGTGACACACTAACACTTGTCCCGTAAAGTTCTCCCCCTAAACATGTCTCTCAAACACCATATGGCTACATTGTGGATGCTTCTGAATGAGAAGGAAGGATCCTCAATTTATAGAAGTCCAAACCTTTTCCTACAAGAAAAGGGACTAGCCAAATATAGGAGAATTATAATTTCCTTCTACAAGAAGGAAAAATCAATTATGGTAAATATGTTGTCCTTTCCTTCATGAGATAGGAAAATCAATTATGGTAAGAAAATTTGAATAAACACCTAACAATTCTTCCCCTTGGCCTGAACTTTTTTGACAAAATAAACTTGATCCACCTTCTTCACATAGCTTTGAACAAGTCACATCTCCAAATCTTCGCCACAAAGTTTGTCTTAACGTGCGTAGCACTCGGGTCAAATTTCTCAGACAAAAATCAACGATTATCGTCAAATATGTTGCGACTTGAACTGACCCGCCAAGATGAACCTGTCTTGAACCTCGCCCTGATACCACTTGTTAGGGCCGAAAAAGTCAGGTGTCATGCGGAAATTAGTAATGCAACAATTGAACGACGATAAATCCAACAACAAAAGAGAAATATACCAAAAGAGACACAAATATTTAATGTGCTTTGGTCAATTGACCTACGTCCATGGCAGCAATCCACTATATAAAAAGAGAGTACAAAATNTGTGCTTTGGTCAATTGACCAAAGCACATTAAATATTTGTGTCTCTTTTGGTAGATTTCTCTTTTGTTGTTGGATTTATCGTCGTTCAAGGTTTGCTTTACTAGCTTCNCAACAATTGAACGACGATAAATCCAACAACAAAAGAGAAATATACCAAAAGAGACACAAATATTTAATGTGCTTTGGTCAATTGACCTACGTCCATGGCAGCAATCCACTATATAAAAAGAGAGTACAAAATATCGAGAAAACAACCTCACGAAGAGGCAAACACAAGTGACACACTAACACTTATCCCGTAAAGTTCTCCCCCCTTAACACGTCTCTCAAACTCCATTGGCTACATTGTGGATGCTTCTGAATGAGACGGAAAGATCCTCATTTATAAAAGTCCAACCCTTTTCCTACGAGAAAAAGGACTAGCCAAATATGAAAGATTTATAATTTTCTTCTACAAGAAGAAAAATCCAATTATGGTAAATATGTTCCTTTTCTTCAAGAGATAGGAAAACCAATTATGGTTAGGTGTTTGTCCAAATTTTCTTACCATAATTGGTTTTCCTATCTCTTGAAGAAAAAGACAACATATTTACCATAATTGGATTTTTCTTCTTGTGGAAGGAAATTATAAATCTCCCATATTTGACTAGTGCTTTTTGTCGTAGGAAAAGGTTTGGACTTCTATAAATTGAGGATCCTTCCTTCTCCATTCAGAAGCATACATAATGTAGCCATAAGGGGTTTGAGAGACGTGTTTAGGGGGAGAACTTTACGGGACAAGTACTAGTGTGCCACTTGTGTTTGCCTCTTCGTGAGGTTGTTCTCTCGATATTTTGTACTCTCTTTTTATATAGTGGATTGCTGCCATGGACGTAGGTCAATTGACCAAAGCACATTAAATATTTGTGTCTCTTTTGGTAGATTTCTCTTTTGTTGTTGGATTTATCGTCGTTCAAGGTTTGCTTTACTAGCTTCCGCGTGACACCTGATTTTTTCGGTCCTAACAAGTGGTATCAGAGCGAGGTTCAAGACAGATTCATCTTGGCGGGTTTAGTTCTATCCGCAACCTATTTGACGGTAATCATGATTTTTGTTTGAGAAATTTGACCTGAGTGCTACGCACATTGAGACAAACTTTTACGGTGGAGATTTGGAGATGCGACCAGTTGAAGGCTATGTGAAGAAGGCGGATCAAGTTTATTTTGTCAGAAAATTCAGGCTAAGGGGGAGAATGTTAGGTGTTTGTCCAAATTTTCTTACCATAATTGATTTTCCTATCTCATGAAGGAAAGGACAACATATTTACCATAATTGATTTTTCCTTCTTGTGGAAGGAAATTATAATTCTCCTATATTTGGCTAGTCCCTTTTCTTGTAGGAAAAGGTTTGGACTTCTATAAATTGAGGATCCTTCCTTCTCATTCAGAAGCATCCACAATGTAGCCATATGGGGTTTGAGAGACAAGTTTAGGGGGAGAACTTTACGGGACAAGTGTTAGTATGTCACTTGTGTTTGCCTCTTTGTGAGGTTGTTCTCTCGATATCTTGTACTCTCTTTTTATATAGTGGATTGATCATCTCCGCCGTGGACGTACGTCAGTTGACCGAACCACGTTATATGTTTGTGTCTCTTTTGGTAGATTTCTCTTTTGTTGTTGGATTTATCATCGTTCAAGGTTTGCTTTACTAGCTTCCGAATGACACCTGCTTTTTTCGGTCCTAGCATATATAATATATGTATTTCAAGCATTATATGTAGATGTGTTCTTTTTTTCCTTTTTACACACTGCCTCGATCATTTTAGGAATTTTTTTTCCATCACTTTGGTTCCGGAATCCTCCTAGAGGAAGTACAAGCCGCATACGACACGTCATGACTCCATTGGAATTAAGTCGACGTTGATTGTCTTATTTTTTTTTACATATACTAATCCATGTAATGATGTAAATCAATTAGACTCACACGTTATTGATGATCACAAATACCTATGCCACGCACCTGGTAAGTCGGGCATAAAGAATATCTATAAGGAGGACAATCAATTAGAAGAAGAAAAATTAGCCAAATATGAGTAACACAGTAGTTTTTCGTTAGGAAAAGTAGGTATTTTGATGTACATCATCCTTTTATTTAAATGTAATTTATGTAAATGACCTAGCATAAGAAACCAAGATGGTACATTTCCTTTTAAGCAACAAACAAATAAATTTTGAGTAGCTGGTCAGATAAAATCTTTGACAAATTCAAGGTTTAGAAACCAAAGCAATTCGTTTCGTTAACATATTTCACTCAGATTTGATAGGGTAGACTTTGTCAAATTAAGAATCTTTTAGTAATTGATTTTGTAATATTTTGCTCTAAGCATACTTTATTTGACAAACAAGATAGCATTGACGCTCTCTCCTTTGGAACACATGTTTGAAATTTAAATGGCCAGCTTGAAAATGTATGGAAACATAATATAATACTAAAACAGTACGTAGTGCATCATGGGTCTATGCACACATCATCTTAATCCAGAGAATAGGAAACAGATATATAGCATATAGAGGTGCTGTTCCAGATGAAGATAAAAGAAGATGGAAGTAGGGAAAAAAATGGTAGCGAGTGATTTTTTTTTATGCATCCTATGCAAGGTGAATTTGAATCAGTTTAACCTTGTCTTTCTTAAAAAAGAAAAATTGGGGAATAGTTTTGGAGAAGGGCAAATGTGTTATCTTATTGTTTTATCTCGATATAAGTAATCCCGAGATTAAAAAATAATATCAAAGTTGTAGTATAAGCAATCCTAATATTACTAAACCCGAAATCAAAAATTGTACCAAACATGGGAGACCAAGTATGGGGTTGACCCCTGCCAAGTTCGCCTTAAAGCCTTAAGGAGAAGGGGAGGAGCCCATAATATATTTCATTATCTCACTAACCAAATGTGTAAAGATCCCTAAATTATATATACGAGACAATGCAAATATTTTATTGCATAGTCAATATGTATTTTAACATATCATGACAAGTTAGTTTTCATTGTTCAATAAGTGTTTAACATAAATATTTATTTATAATTACTTTATAAAGAATTTTGTAAATACTTGTCATAAGGTTAGTTTGGTCACTCCAAATTTTATTTTATTTTACCAAAATCACTTTACTATTTTTTTTAATGAAAAAGTTGCTCAAATTTACCTTATTAGTATCATGGAAGTAACTAAATTACTTGTTATAATAAAAATATTACACTCTATATTGTCTAAGTAATCACAAAAAAGTCACTAGAAAAAAAATAAGGAAACATTTTAATAGTCCTATTTTTGTATCGTTAAGCTCGTAATATATCAGTATGTATCAAATGTTTGGTAAAGCCATACACCCATGCTTCTAAGGCGTCGCGAAAAACTCCAGCTTTATATCATGGTTTGTTACTAGCAAATGGTTGAAATTTCAGATCATTACAAGTGGAAAGGGACTCTCAGGTATTGCTACACATCTTATCAAACATATCACTAAAACACTCACATATCATTTTTGCATGCAAATTGATGCTCAGGGACCTACAGGTGACCACGATCCACCACACATTCAAGGAGGGTAATGGTGTAGCGGAGGTATTAGCCAAGTATGGGAAGACAAATCCGGATCTACAACCTAATGATGCTCTACTTTTTGAAACCCCTACCCCTACTTTTGCCTTATCGTTTTTAGCTTCCGATGTAACTGAAACTATAACATACCGTTCATTTCCGACTTCTGTAATTCACTAGTTTTATTTTTAATAAAAGCCTTATTAGCAAAAAAAAAAAAAAAAAAAAAAAAGACGGTCAAGCCAATAAGTCTGTGACCACATAGTGTCAATTTTTATAGCCCCACGAGTAAGCACAATGTACAGTGAATCAGAATTTGTACAAAGATACGTTACACAACAGAAGTAACAGTATTGTTTTGTCCACAAAAAGTAAGCCACCCACCAAAGTCCAAACAAAGAAACAGTAGGCAGGAACAATCACATTTAATAATAACGTCACATAAAGGGAGACAAGTAGGATCATGCTATTTAGATTTTCCAAGATCTTTCAGTATCCATTAGTAGATTTCTTTCCCTTTCCCCTCTCTCTCCATATCTACTTCAACTAGTACTATATATTTACTCCTTCCACCAATTCTCTACTGTACGTCCGATTCTATAGACAAAATATAACAGACCCATTTTTGTAGTGGAAAATATGGCTGCTGACTATTCTTTAAGTGGTGCACAGGAATTGCATGTTTTAGCCGTTGATGATAGTCATGTGGATAGGAAAGTTATTGAGCGATTGCTGAAAATCTCTTGCTGTAAAGGTTCGTTTTTTTTTTTTTTTTTATATAGTTGAATTCTCTTGTTGTGTTTTTCCCCTATAATTCCCTTTTTATGTTATCGCTAGTTGTGTGTTAAATTTTTTGGGATGGATTTTGTTTGCAGTGACAGCAGTTGAGAGTGGAAGGATGGCTTTGCAATATTTGGGTTTGGATGGAGAGAAGAGTTCTCTGGGGATTGATGTAAGGACAATATTATTTCTATTTATAATCAGAAAGTGGAAGTTTCTTTACCATTTTGAACTAATGAATAAGAAAGTTTTTAAGTGGTTTCAAATTATGATGAGGAAAGTATTCAAATCAGAAATTAGAAGTTTTCTCTACCATTTTGAACTAGGATAAAACTCTGTTTGGTTTCTTGTGAAAATTGAATTTGGCATTATTGAAGTTTGATTGGCTTTACCTAAAGCAATACGAATTTCTAAAGTAATATTGGAATCCATTGGTTTTCAGGAATTGAAGGTGAATCTGATAATGACTGACTATTCTATGCCTGGAATGACAGGATATGAACTTCTCAAGAAGATCAAGGTTTGTTTTGAAAGATGAGATTATGTTATATATACTGTTCCCTTTGAGCATTTATAACACATTATTTTTATAAAGCAACATATTTCTATGTCTGGTATAGTTGAAATTAAAATAAGTGATTTTGAATGACATATTTCTTCTTCCTGAGCAGGGATCTTCGACGTCGAGCAAAATTCCTGTTGTGATTATGTCATCAGAAAATATTTTAACTCGTATTGATAGGTAACCACTCTTTTATACCATCAATATTTTTGTTTATTTGCTTTAGGTTGAGCGCCTTTAATTTGTGTAAAACTATACCAGAATTATGATCAATTCTCATCCATCCAAGGTCCTTCTAATCGTAATTTTAGAAATGGAAATCCAGTTTGTCAAATACCCATTTATAAAAGTTTAGTTCTTGACTTAAATATACCTAAGCCGGATTGTAACGCCATTGTCTAATAAAAAATGTTGTTTTGCCTACGAATAGATGTTTGGAGGAAGGGGCCAAAGAGTTTCTCCAGAAACCTGTCAAGCTTTCCGATGTTAAACGACTGAAAGATTTCATTTTGAGAGAGGAGAATGATAACAAGGAAACAGAGGAAATGAAACAAGGGAGTTGTCACAGAAAGAGAAAACTTCAAGACTGTTCATTGTCATTGACACAACCTCATGATATACCATCATCACCAAAATGTTCATCAACTCCGTTATTGAAACATTCTCTGTTGAAGCACCCAAAGATTGCCTAAGCCTAACACTGATTCATATGATTCCTACTTTTGCTTTTTGATTTAACTAGGACAGTCAGCCTTGACACACTCGATCTGTATAAGGTCATTTTTGTTTGTATTACAACAAACACAATTTTGTACATCCTTTAGCTTATTACTATCTCACTAATCAGTGCAATTAAGCTACCTTTGCACTTGTCGATTTTACTTTTTATATTTATGCCAATTTACATGTGCTATTCAGGCTCTCGTGATGCTTCATTTGTAAGAAATTTATCTACATTAGAGTTAGGGTTAAAGAAACATGCGTTTATTGGTACAATAATCGACGGTTAATTTTAAGACCAACTTCAATAGTTAATGACTTTTACTTTATCACACATTATAAAATAAGAATCATACCTTATATTTTATTCACAATTTAGGTCAAGCCACTATCTTTCTCAGGTTACAATTAATCAACTTTAAAGTCCAAATTCCATATAACTGCCAGAATTTTTATCTATCTGTCGACTTGAAATATCCAAATCAAACTACTACTCCAAGGCTCAATTTGCAAATTTCAGATAAAACAATAAAATAAAATTTCATTTGTTTGCATTAAATGGATATCTGAATTTAAAGCATTCAAATGTTAGTCTATTAAATGCATTTATTCTTTTTTTTTCACAGTTACTATTAGCTCTTAGTAAATTTAAATAATTTAAATCTTGTATTGAGACTAATATTATTACACGTTCACTTAAATTTAATGCCAAAGTAATCTTTTACCACCATTCTATTTATTATCATTGCCAATCACCACTACCGGCGACCTTTATGACCGTCACCATCTGCCACCTAACTACTAAACTACCAACACCCTCCACCATCAACAACAACCTCCACCACAAAGCACCGTCACCATCGATCACCATTACCACTAGCCACAACTGATCACCATTATCACTAGCCACAACTAGGGGTGACAATTTGAGCCAAAACCTATTTAGCTACAATTAGGGGTGACAATTTGAGCCCAAACCCATTTAACCCGCTCAAAGATTAATGGGTTGGGCTACAAATATTTTAGATCATGTATTTATTTGGGCTGAGTCCAAGTTAACCCATTATATTTTACGGAAAAGGGTCAAAAATACCCCTAACGTATTAAAAATAGCTTAAATTTGCCCTCCTTCCACCTATAGAGCCAAAATTGCTCTTAACGTTAATTTTTGGGTTAAAAATGCCCCTCTTTTAACATAACTATGAGATGACAAATGTGGGTCCTTTAATTAAGTAGGTGTTACTGATGTATTGGTCCACATGGCATTCGACCCATAAATAACCGACCCATCCGGGTTAACAGAAAACAACTAAAATTAGAGTATTAGACCCATAAATAGTCGACCCATCCGAGTTAACCAAACACAACTAAAAGCCAATTGAGTTCAGCAGCAATGGTGGAGTTGATTTTACCAAGTTAGAAACTATTTGAGTTCAACAATTTAACCACTACCCTTGGAGTAGTAGATACACGGGCCTGAAGTAGCAAAAATTTATGTCTAAAGTTTGAACTTCAGAATGTTTTGCCTGAAGTGTAGCAAAACTTCAGATATTTTTGCATGAAGTTTGGCCTGACTTGCAAAGGCAATCACGCAAACTTCAGTTCATAGTACAAATGGCAAACTTCAGTTCAATAAAACTACAACATGTTTTGGCTGAAATTTTTGTTTGTAATTGCCGAACTTCAGCATTCTAGTAGCTGAAGCTTTGTTCTGTATTTGCTAAACTTCAGTATGTTTTAGCTAAAGCTTTGTTCTGTATTTGCTGAACTTCAGCATGTTTTAGCTTAAGCTTTGTTCTGTTTGTGATGAACTACAACATTCTAGGGCTGAAGTTTGTTTTTTATTGGTTGAACTTCAGCATTGTTAGACCTGAAGTTCTAAACAACAATGAATTTAATAAATCATGATTAGCAGTGACTGATGTTGTTCATTTCAAAGATTAAAGAATGAAAAATATTTCGACATGAAAACAAGTTACTACAGATAAATTAGAACAAAAAACCAATGTGCATATAAAGCTAAAATATCTAAGAGGTTAAATTATTGTGAATAAGACCAAACTGAACATAATGGGACAAGTAAATATATACATGAATCATCGGGGTAGAACGCATAACAATATCTCAAGCTTCAGCATTTAGAAAACGAAGGAGGAGAAAAAGGTTTGCAATTATTTAAACAGCGGGTACAAGTTAAAAACTTTTTTAAAAAGTGGGTATAAGTTAAATGGGGGCGATCAAATAGGGCGGCCCGTGCAATTTTTACTTTTATAGTCCATTATGACCCATTAAGTAGCCCAAATACAACCCATGAAACTCACCCAAAACAAAGGGATCTCAACCCAACTTTTCTTGAAATTTACTTAGTTGCCCCAATTTTTTTTAATTTTTTTTTTGTATTGTCCATTTTTTGTTTTTCTACACCACCCACTCCTACCTCTCCTAAACGCCCCCCTTCCCCCTACCCCACCCCCCGCTAACCCCCTCAAAAAAGATTTTTTACTTTTTTTTTTGTATTTTTAATTTTCTATTTTTTGTTTTTCTGCATCACCCATCCACCCTACCCCCCTCCCCCCCCCCGACAAACCCCCTCAAAAAAAGTTTTATATTTTTTTATTTTTTATTTTCTATTTTTTTATTTTTCTGTACTACCCACTCCCCTCCCCCTTCCCCTCCCCCCCCCCCCCCTCAAAATCTTTTTTTTTTTTTTTGTATTTTTAATTTTCCGTTTTCTGTTTTTTCCTTTTTCTGCACCATCCACCCACCCCAACTTCTCCCCCTTTCACCCGCAAAATATTTTTCAACTTATACATTTTAAGGTAAAAGACTTAAAATGGTGCATTATTCGCCTCCTTCACTAGCTTTCACCGCACAACCATCATGCAATCATCACCAACTGCCTTTATCACCAGTTTTTATTGCACAATCACCATTACCAACCATCTTTACTACTAGTAGCCACCAGCAACTGCCTCTATCACCAACTTTTTGTTGCATAGTCACCTCCTCCACCACTAGTCACCACTGCACATTCATTATCTCTAACCACAGTCATTATTGGATAGCACTGCACAATTGTCGCCAGCCTCCTCCATACAACCACGGTCACTACCAGTCACTACCTTAAATTATCATCCCTGACCACCACCATTAGCTCTTAGAGTGTGGTTAATAAAAGTTACTCCATCCGTTTAATTTATGTGACGTAGTTTTGCTCGGCAAGAAGTTTTAAAAACTCTTGAAAATTTATGGTCTTAAAAGCATAAAGGGTAAAGTTTTGTGGAGCCATAATAATTATATGATTGTAAAAGCTTTTCATTAAAGGTAAAATGCATAAAATAGAAAATTTAAAGTTTTTCAAATATAGAAATATGTCTTTTTTTTAGAACGGACGAATAAAAAAGTTTGTCACATAAATTGAACGGATAGAGTATATAACACCGCATAAATAATATTGTTTCAATATTTCATCGATATAATATTCATTAGTAATTTAATTTGAATCTGTATTTTTAGTTTTTAAATAAAAGATAAATTATCCACATCAAATGATGAAAAAACAAATTGTTTTAATTACTCAATTTTCGATCTAGATGCAATACCTTAATATTTAGGGCGTATTCAAAATTAAGACATTATCTTTATTATATTAAAAGCGCGAAGGCCCTTAACGAAATGTCGTTCGCATTTTTTACCCTTTTAAAATAGACTTCACATTGAATAAAATAGTCATTTCATTATTTTTCTAATATTTAGAAAAAATTATTTAACTACTATTTAAGCTCATTAATTATTTTCCTAATATACAAAACATATAATTTTCAATTCCTTTAATTATGGAATTTCAAATACTTTCAATTAAAAGTAGGAAAATTTCGTACTAGAAAAGTTTCCCGGAGTATAAAATTTCTCCTTGCACTTTCAATTAAAACTAGAAAAGTTTTGATTAGGAACATTAGATTCTCTTAAGGTTAAAGGAGGATCTTTTTGAGTTAATAAAATTTTGATAGATTAATTCTTTATAAAAATATTAGGTAACATCGAGCACTTCACACACTTTTTCGATTTAGGAATATTTTTTTATATTTATACTACTTGAACTACTTTATCTCATATAAATTCTTTCCTATTTTTAATTATATATATGAACACTTCTATGAAAGAAGCAAAAATTTCATATTTTCATCATCAAATTAATGATTCTCAGGTTCTCTTTATTTGAGAAAAATCCTTTTGTATTAGTAGTTGGATTGCATTAATGTATATGTATTAATAGTTAAATTTTGCATTCACGTGTTCAATTAATATATCTTTACTTTGGTGTTCTTTATTGAATGGCTATGCTCTTTTATGTTAAAAACTTTTGTACTAGCTTTTCAAAAGTCTTTTATTAACATATAAATTTTTGTTTCATGCATTGGACTTGGTGCTTTCGTTTCTGACTTAATGTATAAATTTTGACAAGTTTGTTTGGAAGGGATGATAGGTTATAATTGCATATTTTAGTCGCTTATTACACTCGAATTTACTGTACTTTAATTGAGTTTGCGCTTTAATCGCTAGTGTTTTACACTAATTGTGTGTTTTATGCCTTGTAGGTGTGATTCCGAGCTATATAGATGTTATGGAATGAATTTAAGTGATTTGAAGCTTTGAAGTCTGAGTAAAAGCTCAAGGAATTAAGCCGGGATCGTGTTCGGAGGTCAAATTTGATAATTAAGTACGAACGAAGACTTGAGGAGGCATATTGCGCACTGTCTAGTAAAATAGACATAAATTTTTGCTCAGAACTCCATTTGGGCTCCACAATATATGGTTCGAAAGCTAACTCAAAGGGCTACAACTTTTATGTTTTACGTTTTTCCAAATTCCAAACGGAACAGGGTAAAAAAACCGCGGTTTTGCCGCGACCGCGGCAGAACCGCGGTAGAAGATGGTCGCGGACAACTGAAGAATCAGAGGGCATGTTTGACCGCGGTTCCACCGCGACCACGGCAAAACCGCGGCAGGAAACGAATATTTCAGGGACTAAAGTGGAAAACATGGGATTTTAAGTCCTAAACCCTATATTAAACAAAGGAGGCCGGCCAAGAACAACAGGAGGAGGACTATTTTGGACACAAATTAGTCCTAAGGAGGCGGAGAGACAC